GCCTTCCACATTTTCTGATAAGTATGGAAATAACATAGACAATATGCCAAGTGGATATAAAGAAAACATCTCTCCTTACTTGAAAAACATCGCTTTTGTCAGTATTATACAAGATGGGATTGAGAATATAAATGTGTTTCCCAAGAAAGGGCTGCTTAAATGCTTATTTGCACAAGTTATCAGATAAAAAGGAATTGAACTAAACCTTGAAGGATGCTCACCTATCATCTCTGAAAGATACATTACAGGAAACCAAGACCTCTCATCACTGTCAAATCCAGCCTGGTGGTTTTTGCTTCACTTATTATTCAGATCAGAATATCCCTACAATATTAGATTAGAGAGAGGAAGAAAATACAGGGATACATTTTCTAGAAAAGGTAGAAGGAAGGTCATGGAGAACAATTAGCAAAGAGGGACATCTAAAGAACAAGAAAAGTTTAACACTGTCAATATGTCACAGGAAACTAGTCCTCAATTAAGTGTCTTTGTTGACAAGAGTATACACAGGTGGATGGGGATTTAGGGTTGCTGTGCAACAAATCTCAGTCAGAGACAATAGTTTATCAAAATGCCAACTTTAAAGATTGTCATTATTCCTTTACTATATAACTTTTCCAGCTGTGTATATTAACTGATGTACGAATGTGAGCAATTCAGAAAATAAGTTCTCTTTTGTTTCACTTTATGTGAAATATTAGATAAGTTTCCATTGTTGTCCCAAATTCATAACTTTCTCTTTTTATTTCTCCCATGCTACATGGCAGAGAAGCATTATAAAGATAATCCTGAACTTCTTCAGGGACTTTTACTTATTTTAGGGCCCCTATTTTATCTTCACACAAATTGTATATGAAGAGTTTTAATTCCTGTTTTAAGAGATGTTAAATGATTTGTTTAAGGTCACATAACTGGCAAATGGTCAGAGTATTTAAACCTCGGGCCTTCCAACATTCAAGCCTCTATTCTTTTCACTACGTTCCTCTACTTTTGACAAGAAAGGTAATTTAACCTCAGATAAAAATGATTTCCCACACTTAAAAAAAAATGGAGTGTCATAACATAAAATAATGTGGAGGAACTTGATGTGCATATTAATAAGTGAAAGAAGTCAGTCAGAAAAGGCTGTGTAGCTTTGGTACATGGTTAAATCATTATCTGATGCTTGGAATTCCTTCAGTCATTTTGAGACCTTGAAGGGAGCAGATCATGTTTCAAACTATCATGCTGAAAATAGTCAAGTAAAAATTTGGAAACAAGCTATGTCACTGATAATGTAATGGAGTAGACAAGTTAACTAATTCTGGAAACATTGTTCTTCTAGACATTTTGTGAGAGAATGGATTTCATTTAAGCAAGTTAAGTCACATTTTTAAAAAGTTCTTTCCACTAAAATTATCTGTATAGATATGCCGAAATTGCCTCACTTTACCCCTCATCTATTTTGTGAGGGTAGGTAAAGGATAGTGGTGAAGCATAGAAGTGTAATGCTTATCCAACTTACAAATTAAGTAAGTGGCATAACCAAAGCTTACAACCAGTAGATTTTATACCCTAGGTTTTAAACACAGAATTTTGTGCTTTTATTCTGACCCAAAAATAAGTAATATGTCATCTCAGTTAGTTTAGATAAAGAAAGCAATCCAAGTCACCTCATTGTACCTTAGAAAAATATGAAATAACTATATATATATATATTATATATATATACATGTACCAAGTATATTAGAAATAAAGAATATAAGGTAGCTTGCTGATTTTTTTTTTATTAAAGATTTATTTATTTGTGCATACAGAACTGGGGTGCAGGCCAGAGGTTCAGGGGTGGTGAGAGACTTCACCAGAGACAAAGTGGGGGGCAGAACAGGCAGATCGATGAAGTACACTGCTGAGGGGAGCAGCGGGCGGGTCAGGAGAGGTCTGCCCCGCCATGTGTTCGCCTCCGAGGCAGGCGGGAATCGAACTCATGCGGAAGCGGCCTTAGATTCTCAGTGCTGTGCTTTAACCCGCTGCGCCACCAGGGAGGGCCAGCTTGCTGATTTTTTTAAAGGGAAATAGCCACTCATTCATTGTGTCAACCAAATGTGTAAGAAAGAAGGGCTAAAAAACTCTCCCCAATGATGTTAAGTGTGAATACATCCTTAAGCAACTTTCTTTATTTACTTCTTTATTTAATTGTGATTCTTCATGAAGAACTGCAACAATGAGTGTGTCGATATATAAGCAAAACATTTATGATGAATTTACATGGGGACAATACAGAACTTAAAAGATTTGTGGAAAGAAAAAAAGAGTGAGGAAAGGAAGGAGGGGGAAAGTGGAGAGATGGAAGGTGTGAGATTGGGGAGAAGAACCTACTCTATAGTTCTAACAGTATGAGATGACTTTCTGGAAAATGCAACTCTGGAGACAGTAAAATTATCAGTGGTTTTTAGAAGTTAGTAGAGAGGAGGAATAACTAGGCAAGAAGAGATGGTATTTTTAAGTCAGTGAAACTGTAAGTGTGAGTGGTACCCCAGAACCCCAAAACTTGCAAACTCTAAATGTGTTCTACCATCTACTGTATAAAGACAAAGCATGTTTTTATTATGTAAAAACTTTAAGAGAATGATTCTGCATAGATAAAGAGAAGAAGAGAGGATATAGTTTTCCAATCCAACACCCAAAGCTACCTAACCCCTCATGGGTAAATGCCCAGCCAAACAAGGTTGGCCCAAAGCAAGGCCACTGGGCCCAAAATCTTGTCACATGTCTAAGTCACCTTCTGACTGTGAACCATAGGAAAGGGGAAGGAACCAGGCAAGTCTGGAAGAAAGGAGCAAAATGAAATGTGTATGTCACCAGAAAGGTTGTCATTGGCAGCCTCCCCATGGGTCCCTCACTTACATCTATTCCACATATCTTCATCCATGTACCCCTAGCCCCTGCTGTAAATTCAGAGCCAAGAAGAAAGCCTAGCTTCTTCTTTGCATGTCTCTTTATTCCATGTGCCTTCTCCAACTTTTCTCCCTAGGTCTTCATTCCCAAGTCCTTTAAAGCTCCCCCTGGTGCTCAGCTCCACCATTCACTAGGTGGAGCAGGGGACATGGACATGTAACCTCCCCTTTATAGATTACACTGTTACTATTCTGTATGATGCTGTTATGGAGGACATGTGTGATTATACATTCATCAGACCCATAGACTATAAAGCACTGAGAGTGAGCCCATAGAATATTAAACACTTAACATATACTCTATACTTTGGATGAAGATGGTGTGTGAATATATATTTATGGATTATAACAAATGTACAATTCTGGTGTAGGGTGTTGATAATATGGGAAATAACACATCTGTAGAGACAAGACACATAGGAACTCTGCACTTTCTCCTCAATTTTACTATGAGCTTGGAGTTCTCAAAATATATATATAATATCTATTAAAGAATATTTCCCCACTAAGCAGACATGAACTTTATGTTAATTCACACCTTGCTTCAGTTTCTACCAGTAGCACCTAAGATGTTGGAAAAAAGAGCAAAAATTAGTTAATACTAAGGCAATAGAATATGATACTAGAAAAAGTAAAAGTATCTTAAAGCTTCCTGATTCATTCTCTATCTTCCTTTCCTTCTCCTTCCTGTCATCTATGTCAGCAGCCTTTTAATTTGCCACCATACAACCTCCATTCCAGGAAACATTTTTCTTTCATAGTACTCTTAGCATTTAAGTTACTTAGTCTTAGTACCAGTTACTCTTGCTGCCAAAATTCACTGGTACAAAACAACAATATATTATGATCAAAGATTCGGTGGGTTAAGAATTCAAACTGGGCCAAATAGGGAGGGTTGATCTCTGATCTCTGATGTGGCAACCTTGGCTGGAAGAAACCAGTTCTGGGCTGGCTCAATAACTGGGGGCCAGAGTCATTTGGAGGCATTTCTCTCCAGTGTCTGCATACTGGTACTGGTTATCAAATGGGTCTTGGCTAGCCTATCCTCCAGGCCAAAGTATTTGAGGGTTCTCCTATGGCATCTCTATGTTGACTAGTTTTGGACTTTCTAATTTGAGCAGAGTGGCTAAGTTCAAGGAATGGACAGCCCAAAAGAATAAGGTCAAAGAGTGTGACATTTTTTGAACCTAACCTTGGAAATCACATGGTATTACTTCTACCATATTCTATGGTCAAAATGGGCACAAAGTTCTGTCCAGATTCAAGGGGAAAGGATATAGACAAAAGCAACCAGAAGGGAGATTGTCCAGGTTACATTGTAAACACATATGGAATAAGAGTTATTAAAGCAGCCAATTTGAGACATATAATCAATCTACCATAATAGTTATTGATTATTTTATCACCTCTTAAATATTTAAGATATATATTGTATTGATATATGAATGGTTTCCAACACTAAAAATAAATGGGTTCTCAAGCCATAAAATATCATGGAGAATCGTTAAATGCATATTGATAAGTGACAGAGATAAATCAGAAAATATTATATAAATTTGGTACATATTTAAATCACATCTTATTTCTAATTATCTATTTCAGATTTTAAACCCCGTGATGATAGGAATTGTTGTGTTGAGTTAATTTGACCTTGACAATCATATATATCATCACTACTGAAACTGTAATTACCACTAGATGAACACCCTTGAGTATGCATCTTTTTTTATATTTGTAATAACTTGCAGAAAATCTCCATGATAGAACAAAAAGGCATAAGTTACCTTTAATATGCATGCAAATTTTAGTACTTGAATTAGATGGTGGTTGCTTAAGAATAGTATATAAATTCTTCTCCCAAGTGAGTAGATTCATGTCAAGACAAATTGAACCTCCTAATTGACATGGGGCTTAACCACTACCTTGACAGTACTGTTTTATTTTTCCCCCATGTTTAGTTACTTTTATTTTAATAGATTAATGAAAATTTAGTATCCTTTTTAAGACCATGATCATGAATGCTATCTGAAAAGTTAACTTATAAAGGCATTTGTCCCTTTTCAGTTGATTTCATAGGTGGCTTTGACTCTTACGGCTATCAAGGACCTCAGAAGACCTCTCATTTACAACTACAGCCTATGTACATGTAAGTACTTCATCTTGGAGGGATTCTTCTGGGATACTGAAAGATGATTATGTAAGCATTATAGGGGAACAAAATAGATGGCATGCAACTTTTCTTCAATTATATATTCCCAGTAGTTATTCTTCTATCATTTTTACTATGATACTTCTAATAGCATATTCTCCATATTCTTTTTTTAACTTATCAGATATGCCATCATTAATCTTACAAAGTATCAACTACATGGCTCAACAGCCTATATAATGTACTGCTACTTTCAGTGATCCAAATGTTGTATGTTTTAAAAATGCAATAGCATTGCATATGCATATGCATATGTAACTATGCATAACCATAAAAATGTTCTGATTTCCCTAGGATTGTCTCAGTTTGTACCTGCTGTCAGCACCTCCCCAATACTATCAAAATTGTTCTCATTTGGATTATACATGAGAGGTTGTTACCCTAGTTATTTGTAGTGTTAAAAAGCTAAAAGGACTGAGAAATACTCTTTCTCTATCATTTTTCCGATGTGAAAATGAAACCAGAATTTTAACAGTGAATCTTATCAGACCCTTAACTCTAGCACTCAAGAAAGCAGACATACAATCAGAGCCTGATTTTTATATCTGTGTTTAGGCAAATTCCCTTGGATAACAACTGATAACAAATTCTATATATCAGCATCAAGTGATATGCTGAATTGCAAGTGAAGATCAAAATAGAAAGTAAGATTCCAATTCATTTTGAAACGTGAGCTTCTCTTTTTGAAGATATGTGTTTGTTGTCGTTGTCCTCCACCATTGAACCATTTTACCTTTTAAAATTGTTAGTCTGTAGGAGAATAAATGGATTTTCAGTGTATTCTCCTCCAAAGAGATTAATCTTGAAACATCCCTTTAAAGTTTCTCTTTAAAAAGAGAATGACCCTATGCATCTTGCCTGCATTTTTCTTTGTGTCTCTTGTAGTTCCCTGAAAACACGTGTTAACACCACTCATAAAAAGACTTTATCAGTTCAGAAATCAGTCAATAAGTACTATATGTCGTTCAAAGCATCCTCTCTATGAGCAACACCTATACATCCCCCTTTTATGTTCCCATAACCACTGCCTAATTCAGCTATTCACAATGCCAAAGATTTACAGTTTCTTCTGTCCTATCTTCTATGTGGCTACAAATTAATTTTTCTAAAGAAAAAATCTGATAATTTCACTCCCATATACTATAACAATCAATGACTCCCTTCACTTACTTTCTAAAGGCCAAACTCCCCGCCTTAGTGTGCTAGTCTACTCCAGTCTGACCCTGATGTTGTGTAGAAGTATATCTTCCATTCAGCCTTTTAGATGTTTTCAAACTCAACCACATATATAAATGATGCTAGAAAATCCCGAGGAAATGTAGTTAAGAATAAGAACTGATCCTATCCTCCTGAAGTTTATAAATTATTGAGCACATGCTAGTATAGCAGTTGACAACTCCCCCTTCCCTCAAGTAAACTAGAACTCTTGCCTTCTCCAACTGTCCTTGTTAGTCTTTTGGCAATAACTATAATTTTTTCCCACTCTTGGGAACCTCGGTATCCTTCATACACTATCTTAAAATGTACTTCCTTTAGGAAGTGTTTCTAAATCTCTAACTCTCTGATACTTCTCTTTTTCAATTTTGCCCTGTACTATAGAAAAGTTTGGTAGCTTATGCAAAAAATTAAATGATAGATTTTTAAATTCTTCATCATTCTTTCAATGTATCAGAGCCTTATATAAAGTGTTATATGAAAAAATAGGGGAAAGCCATAGAGGGAATGCCTAGATGGCAGTGAAGCAGATTGCCTGAGGTGAGATTTTTTGAATTTGTACATATAACTTTATTTGAATAATATTCACCAAGCTTAAGTTTCCTCACATGCAAAATAACCATAACATCCTTAACTCATGACATTGTTCTGAATTTATACAAAATAGTGCATGTAAAATATGTCACATAGTTAGTACTTAATAAACAATCTGTTAGTCATAGGAAAAATGCTTCTATCAGCCAATATTACTCATAAAAAGACCTTATACAGGATATATAGTACAGATATTGTGTGCATGCTATATATATATACACACTATATAAGCATACTACAAATATATATTACATATCTCAAAGGATTTCCTCTATAAATAAGATGTCATATATAATCAGCCCAAGTAAACTAGAGCGAAGTTTTTTGTGCTTAGCATTGAGTGAAGTATCTGCAACACTTGCCAATTCCTTGCTTCTGACAATGCCACATAATATTTTTATCACATATCTTTTCATTGTATTGCTTCAATATAATGATCAATAAATGTGACCAAGCTATAATAAATTAGAGGCACTCACATTGTAAGGATCATCTATGATAATATCCCGAGGAAGTTAATTATCCACAAGAATGGACATTGTTTCAAAACAGGCATTTATTATTTGAATACTCTTTAATGGGGGTAGGTGGGACTCTGAAACAAACACCCAGCATTAAAATCTTTGACCCTATTCTTTTATCAGTATTTTAAACTCCAAGTCAAAAGTAATCAAAAGACAGTTTTCCTACTGGGTAAGAATGCTAAAATACATGAGTTTCTAAGACTCACCACTTACAATAAAAGTTGAATGTTTAACAAAATTTAAAAATGCTTCAGGTACATAACAGATTGCTGGCCAAAATACTAAAATCCCCTTTTCCATAAAATACACCTAGAACATCTCAAGTACTAGAGCACTAAGATTTTATTTTACAGATGAGGAAATTGAACCAAAAGAAAGGAAAACAAAAGTCACACCACTTGTAAGCCTGCAGCCCCAATGAAAGTGCTCTTTCAAAATCTTAGGATTGTGAGTGTGCTTCAGTGTTACTTCTATCCCCTGCTTTTTAATTTATTTACTTGTACTTCTTTGCCCTCAGCTTCCATACTTCCAACCAGCCTGCACCCCTGCCCTTTCCTGGCTTTCCTTTTCTTGCCTGTTGATTTCATATTACAAAGTGTTCAATGAAAGGCTTTTTCAACTTTGTAGCCACCAAAACCAGTCATTTGAGAGCCACTGCCTACTCAAATCCTATAAAAAAAAAAAATCAAAACTCATTCTCTCAGAAATCTTAGCCCTTGCTGAGCAGGAGAGACCTGAGTGTCTCTTTGGCTTTTTTTCTTTGGAGTGTACCCTCTCCTGACAACCTGCCTAAATAAGTTGCATAAAGTAAGAGTGATTTAGCATCATGGACCAGTTCAAGCACCCTAATGATGTTATATAGCAACTGGAAAGAAAAGCTGTTCCTTACAAGGAAAGCAAATGCTAAAAGCAATGTGCAGTTTTAGCTGTGGGGTTTCCTTTATACCCAGCAAATCTTCCGAGGTTGAAAGCCTGGACAAAGCTTTGAAAACATTGTCATAACTGACTTCCATTCACACCGCATTTCAATTCTTGTAGTCAATGAACAACCTGTACTCTTTGCTTTTTTTTTTTTTTTTTGAGTTAAATTGGGTGAATGTTCTTGGCCAGAAATTATTCAGATTAACTATAATCCATCTAAAAAGGAAAGTTTTTCATATTTTTTCTTATAGTCTGGTAAACCTTTTTGAAATAAGTAATAGTCATGTAGCTGCTGCCAGAAAATATTTCTATGTCCATAGGTTAATTTTCCAACAAAGTAGTTGCTGTCCCTGCCACTGACCTATGTGCCCTAACAAATAGAGATCTGTGTGGGCTCCCTGCAGTACAAGTTGTGGGAACACTCCATGGCATTTGAGACAATATTTGGAAACATGGCATTCTTTCGGGCAGCCTAATCGTACAACAATACATACTCATTTCACTTGTCCCCAGAAATGGATTTTAAATTACCATTAAGTAGCCTCTCTATCCAAGAGGTTGAACTAAGGAACAAGAAAAGTAGAGGAAAATTGTCTGTTTAAAGCTCAATTGGGGCTTGGACCTTTTTTTTTTTTTTTCTTTTATTTGGCTTGTTTTTGTGCATGGAGAGTTGAGAAATGATGTTCACCCATCCCCCGTGGATTATTCAAGACATCTTTTCCTTCCCTCTCTTAGGTCGAAATAATGCAGATGGCTTCAGTATGTCAACTCCTGGACTTTTCAAAGAACTTGTTTCACAATGACCTCCTGCATTTTATGACGAGCAAGAAGCACCTGAGTTTAAATATACATACCTATTAACAAAATAAACATAAAACTCCACCCTGGGACACACACACAAAACCAATAGAGGCATACAACTATTCCACTCACCTCCTCTTTCTAATTGAAACAAACATGCAGGACATGCCCATCTTGGGCATGCTGGTGCCCTCTGCCGGCGATCTCACTCCTCTGCAGCCCAGTCAGTCAGCCTCTGAGCTGCGAGGTCCTCCAGGGCATATTTGAGAGCTCAATCTTCTGCGCTTCATACGTCTTGAGATAGCACCACGGCTATGTAGGCAACGCGATTGCAAAATAAACAAAACATGCCATAATGACGTTGTGACTGAAGTGCGAAATGGCAGGTTGTTTGCCCTAACGGCTGTACCGTACATACTTGCCTTAACCCACCTAAGTTGTGCGCCCAAAAATCTCAGTGCAGACATCCCAAGTCACTTCCTTTAGGCTAACACACTGCTATTAATTCCAAATGAGTTCAAGTCCGTGTGTTTCACGTCAAGGAACAAGACTGCAGAGCTCAGCAGCTCCAAAGTGTCTGTGTATGAAAACTGCCAGCTGTCAGCAAAGTGCTTTACCATTGAGCCGCCATGGTGGCCACAAGAGAGACAAGGAACCATAACGACAATAATCTTTCGTCATCTTAATAATCCTTAAATATGGCCGTCTGATGGTGTTGGGTAGGACAAAGTAAAACTTACTAAACTCACTCATCTATGGGAAGCAGAGAACAGGAATAGCTTAACTACTGATGTTATTTATTGCACTCTAGGTGCTTTTATAAGTATCTACAAATGTCTTTTACTAACAGAATGGCTGTGGATTTCTATCAACAGAGGCCAACTAAATATGTATTAGCTATGTTTACTCTTTTATATCTAATTCAAATTGAAAACCCGATGTAGGTGAACTTTTTTTCCTAACTTCAGCGTACGAGATTATTTTTTGGGTGGGTGGGGGGAGCAATAGTTACCTTGGTGAAATATTTGAGATCTCTTTGTGGTATTTGGGGGATCTGTTGTGTGTTAGAGTGTATTTTAATCCTCCTGTATTATCGTGGCAGAAAAACTGTGCTGTTAACGTAGTTGGCAACGAGATGCCTTTGGAAACTTAATAGTAGGTCAATGTGTTTATGGAATATTCTGAACTCCTAGGAAATTTTGTTCTATATATTCAAGCATCATTTGGTTTTCATTAGTGGAAAACATAATTAGCTCAGGTTTGTGAAGTACTCAGATGAGTCATGTTTTATCTTAGGAAAAACGTCCAATGCTAGAATGAGATTCCACCTGAGACACTAAAATCTTCTTTTAAATACCATCTTTAAATACAATGAAATTCAGAGTCGAAAGTTATAAATTGGCATGAAATAACTTTTCTCTTGGTTTCTATGAAGTTTCAGTTATTGGGTTAACCGACTTCAGGTTTAGTCCATCCAGATCTACATAAAACAGTCCCATTACTGTGTTTGCATGGGTGTCTGTGATATGCACATATATTCATTTTAAAATGATAAAGGAGCAAAGATTACTATTGGAACACAAACTAGGGGAAAAAAAAGGTTCCAGCACTTGTGCTTGATTTTTCTCAGTGGCTTATATGTGTTCATCCCTACATACATATATAAAATAGATAACTGCAACCATGTCAGTGAAACCTCTTTTGATGATTTATAGTGACATGCATGTTTAGTGTATGAGAAGACTATTTACTACCAATGTATTGTCCTTTGGTCCTTAACATATAAATACTAATAATGCCAGAAACTCTTCTAATATGGCTAGTAGTGCAGCCATTGAAATGAGGTTTCACTGTACATCCGTGCTGGGATGAGATTCCACCTTCTGGGACATGTATATGGAGAGAGACTTCAATGCACAGAGAATAAATAAGTCCTCATATTCCTGCTTTAAGTTGCAGCCAAGTAACCACCTAATCACTACTATCATCACCTCCAAAATTTTTAAAAACAGTGTTGACTACTAAAAATTAATCAGTGGGTAGGTCTTTTTCGGAGCAGTGAGCACAGTAGTGTGATTGTATCTGGGAAAACATCTAAATTGTATAGCTGTATCCTCCTCAAAATCCAGTGAAGAATGCTATTTTTCTAGGCTGAGCTTTTGTTATAAACCTAATATTCAGAAGGCAAAAGGTACAATCCTGATGTGTTTTTTTTTTTCCGTTTGTTAATTCTGAATGTATTTTTAACAGAGTGATTTTTTTGACTTACTAGTGTAATTTGCATTTTAAAAATAAATGGAAAAACAATGAAGTTTCTGCGCCATCCCTAAACACTCCCGATCCTTCTCACAATGTATGTGATATTGTCACTGACAGGAAAGCCTATTAAGTTTACATGAAGGCAATGCTGATGTTCTGTGCTGAGCAGGGATGTATCAGTAGTAAACAGAAATTGCAAGATCATGGCACCATTTTAGCTCAGTCATAGGTAACTTGGACTTTCATTATCTCCTGACACTAAGTATTCTATTTTATGACTGGCTGGAATCGACATGTTGTCATTTGGAGAATGTTTTTCACCTTCTACATGGAACTTACAGTTCGCATCAGGCTAATAGCTGACAGAAGTGTTAGGGCACTAGGTTAAAGGCTGGTTAACAAAGTAGGGTTTTGGTTGTTTTTCATAAGCCAGATTATTTAAATGTCCATCTACTGCCCCTGTAATAACAATTATGTGACGCATGTTGGTCTAGGGGAGGCAAGGAGAAGAGATGATGCTGAATTTAGGCTTGTAGAAGCATAACTTAGGTAAGGTTCACTATATGTGAAAGGATATGTGAAAGGATACGGATCACAGCTTCAGCTGCTGATGGGTCTGTGTCCTTCCACTCACTGCACAGATATGTGCATCCCCTAGAAGCCAGCATGCCAAAATTGATGGAAAACAAAAAAGGCTTCAAGAGAACATCCCCAAAAAAGAAAATCAACTTTTAGAATTTGACTTCTGAGGCACATAGTGAGAAACTGTGAATGATGCAGATTCATGACATTGATGGGTGTGCTTGCTATCAGGATGTTGCTTCACACTAAGACGTTAAATGCCCACATCTTAGTTACATAAAGAGAAATAAAGTTAATAAGGTGTGTGTGTGTGTGTGTGTGTGTATAACATACATAATACATTCTATACATAATACAAGGATTTCATTGAACACTGAAATCTGCACAGCTATTATGAATAATGATCACCAGTGACAACAAAGTAAACAAAGGTGATAGCCTCCAAGAGGTCATACACATTTATTATGTTCTCTAGTATCATAGTAAAGTTTGTTTTAAATATTCTGAAGCACTATGGAGTTTAGAAGCAAATAACTTAAATTTAGATGGATAATGAGAGTTGATATGTGTAAGATAAATTCAAGGAAGAAAAATCCTTTTATAAGCCACATGTTGATGTTCTGACACAGTCTAAACTGTTATTAAAATTAGCGTAAGCCTCTTCTATAATGAGAGCACAAAATTATGGCACCTTAATAATAAAACAGGTATATTTTTAGCCTCTCAGTCTACCCTCATATGAATTTAAGCTATAACAGCAATGGAGTAAAACAACTCCCAAAAAAGATTGCAAATTGATGCTGTCACCCCAAGGATGATGGATTGATTCAATTAATCAGTAAGTCTTCTCTAAGAGTCCTTCAGGGAGTTATTTACCAGAGGCATACCCTGTTTATTCCCCTTCTGTGAGTCTGTCATTTTTCTTCATTATTCTTCTAGTTTTGCTCATTATATCCTTTGGGGATATGTTGATCTCCATGTGCAGAGAGGTTCTGCACACAGCTGTCTGGACATAAATCTTTCAAGCTTCAAACTGGAGGCCACCAAAACACCTGAGCCTCTTGTCATTGTTCTCTCTTTCAGGATGAAGTCAAGCAAATGGTAAGTCAATGGGAAAACATCAAATTGAGTGAAGATGATGAAAAATCTTCCATTTGATAAGGATGTAACAACTTTGTGTTTCATATACCATGTAACTCACCTACCCATCTTCAAAAGCAGGTAGGAGAGGCAGACAGCAGACCAAGCGCTGGGTTCTAGGCTATAATTCATGGAAAAGAAATTATATTTGGTAATTATACTGTTTGGGGTATTAAAAGGAAAATATTCTTAAACCTGTAATATTTCTATGTCTAATAAGCCAAAACATCTCTCAGTTTCAGTTGTAAAAAATAAGAATTCAAAGAGAGGATTTCTGGAGAGAAACTTCAGTGCAAAATCTTGTTATCAGTATTAGCTATGTAGTTTGTAGAGCCCAGTGCAAAATGAAAATGAGGGGCCCTTTTTTCAAGGGGTGGGAAAAAAGATACTATTAAAGCTAGTAAATATGCAAGGACTTTTCCTTTTAAAATATCTTATTATAAAACATAGTAATGGTGTCAATAATATAGATAGCAAATCAAAATGTAAATTATGAAAATAATATTGGGTATAATAATTCAGAACAACATGATAAATACATGATATTTTTAGTGGGATATCATTATTAATCACGAGATTTTGACTTGCTTTTCTACAACTTCATTCATTAAGTCACCAAAATATATATAATATGTTTTCATTTTCAATCCATGTAAATGAGTGTGATGTCAGTCACTCTTGGAAAATATATCACAAATGATTTTTTGAAACTTTTAATTTTGAGAAAATGATTTCTGCTGATATAACTATTGCTGATCTGCAAAGAATATTTTATAAATGGTGACAACATTGGTATAAATTTCTGATCAATCATTTTTAAATATAAATTTAGGCACATGAATTAATGGTTCACAGAATATTTTTTCTAAAAAGATTTATCTTCATAAGAAGGTGTTGCTAATAGGTCTAAATTTAATAAATAAAAGTTACATTGGCATTCTCTGGTGGCGCAAATGGTTAGGACGCAGCACTGTAAGAGAGCTGCAGCCGCTTTAGTGTGAGTTCAATCCCCAGGCCCAGAGGTGATCCACATGGCACAGCAGACCTCTCCAGTCTTGCCCACTGCTCCCCTCAGCAGTGTACTTCATCGTTCGGCCTGTTCTGCTCCCCACTCTGTCTCTGCTGAATCCTCTCACTGCCCTGCACCTCTGGCTTGTACCCCAGTTCTGTATGCATAATTAAATAAATCTTTTTAAAAATTCATATAACTGAAATCATCTACTTACGTATTATTCTCTTACTATATTTTTAATTCTAATAAAACAATTTTTAAATTGTAGTCATCGCTAATAATTTGTTCATACGAAGGCATCATATCAAAATACAGTTCCCTTCAGTCTACTGCTAACACTACAAGTACTTGTTTTACAAAGTTGTGGGAGACTAAATTTTTTGAATAATTCTATTAGTTCTCTGATAGGCTGTTTTAGAATGTCCATGTGAATACGTTTACAGGTAATAACTTATTGACGAAGCTTGCCCCTGAGAAACAGCAGTTCCTGGCAGTGCTAAAGCACAGTTAATATTTGCATAGAAGTCGCAAGCACCAGCTCTCTGGTGACAGATGAACAAACCAGCCTCTCACAGTGCTTAGAGCAACTCACACTTTGTACGTCTGCTGCTGCTGCCCTTGTCACCACTGCAAATCTGATGCATGTTACTTCTCAGGTATCCGGTGAGCCTAGAAGCTCCTAGTTCTGGCCTAAACAGGCCTTGCTGATTGCTCAGCAGGCTTCCTGCTGCACTCAGGACCTGAGCAAGAGACAGGTGCTGCTGCTAAATAACAAACTCCCCCTGGGCATCGCCCCACAGTGTCTCCCCTAATGACCACATGTTCACAAATAATATATTGAGAATTTCACAGAGCGGGTAGTAGAGCATGAACCAAACACCAAAGTTCTCTGAGCATGATGACAATGTTTGATGGCACTAGCCCATGAAGCAAGCCCTGCTTGCTATAGAAGCCAAGAACAAAAAGTCTTCTACCTCTATTCACATGTCACACTTACTCCAGTGTTTCACTGGGATAAATGAATTAAGATATATTTCGCTTGTGATTAACAATAGTCCTGGAATAGTTTTTCTATGAATGAAAGAATGTTCATGTCTCAAAAAAAGGATAGATTGGATACAAAGGCTGGTGAATGTTATCAGAGCCTTCAGTGAACTGGATCAAATATCTGGTTATGTGCTTCAGCAGACAGATTTTTACTACATTTCTATTAAAGAACATGATTTTCTTGAAATGACTGAGATCCATGATGGTACATGTAGCTAACATTCCATAGCTATATTTCATTCTGATAATGAAAGTTTAAGAATAATTTTTTTCAATAGTAATATTTTTTCTCCATCCCTCATAAAAATTCTAAAATAAGAACTGTTGAGTTTAGTGATAGCATATTATCTAACACATTTCAAGTATGTTGCTAAAATACTATAGAAACTGAAAATATGCCTAATTATATTATATGTCAAGACATCATATATCAAAAGAGAAAACTGAAGTGATTTCATTTAATGTAATTAAGGTATATTCTATTTTTTCCTTCATTTTTTTATATGGACCTATATTAGAAGCACTAGAGTAGCAAAGTCCCATCCCTTACTACTCCCTTTTTCCATTTTGCAATGTTAGGTTATATTAAGGATATAAATCCTACACAATAACTCTCATGGTCACCACATCTGTGTGAGAGACCCAAATTTCAAAGACAGTCTGTCTGCGGAGTCCACAGTTCATTGAAACATCTAATAAAATCTCCATGACTGTATCAAAAAGATGTGATACATATACACGATGGAATATTACTCAGCAATCAAAAAGATTAGCACATGCCTTTTGCAGCCACATGGATGGAGCTGGAAGGGATCATGCTTAGTGAAATAAGCCAGAAAGAAAAAGAAAAATACCAGATGGTTTCACTCATAGCAGGAGTATAAAGGACCAGGGGGGAAAAATAATAATGAACAACTATATACCAGAGACCTTTTACAGGGCTGGAGTGGGGAATAGGATCAAAAATGGGGGAGTGGGAGGAAGTGCATTGGAATATGGTGATGGCACACAGATGATTTGGTGATAGGAAGCCCAGGGGGATTACAACTGAGATGGAAAAAGGCACAAAATGATGTAAAAATAAAACTATTATATTATTGAAAGAAAAATCTCCAAAGAACAATCAGTAGACTCTACAGCTGTTTTCTTCTAACCCCAACGATCTACCTATCTAATCATAGTGAATTCTTATTCACTTCACTCACAGAGCATGTAGTTCTGACCCTACTCAAGGAACTTGCTTCCATCCCACCCACTTCTCCAAATATACTCCATTAAGACATAATGTGGAACTTTCTGACAATGGAGGCCATTGGGCAGAGGGTGGAGCACAGGGAAAGACCCTGCAATTATCCCTCTGTAAGGTTCCTTCTGGCTTAAATGTGATCCTAGTTTTATCACAGATCTCTTTCACCAACATGCTTTCCCTGTTTGTGCAGGGAGAAATGAAAGCACAGTAAATCTTGGTAAACATGGTCAATTCTGAAGGAAAACAAGACACTTGTAATATATTGTGTTTATAAATTCCCTTCTCTTATAAGTCCCACTTTGGTGGTGCTTGACATTTAAAATTGAAACTAACAGAGATATACTGAACTAGAGTAAAAAAGGATATGGATAGGCAGTAAACCAGGACTTGTTAAATATGTGTTGCCCATGCCATTCATTCTTACAGGCAGGATTTAGTATCAGTACAAAATGTCACATTTTCTGAAATAACTCCCCATGGTTCTCTACCATTCATGCCAAGTATAATGGTATACCATCATTCTTTCCCTCATTAAATATCTACTTGTAATTTCTCTTTTTTAAATAATGTCATTTACAATTAAAAGTCCAGCATGTAAACAAAAAGGAAAATATTTTCCTAAAATAAGTACCTATGATTTGTCTTTTCTTATATTTTACCCACAAAATTCAACAGCATGTTATATGCAGTTTTGATTATTAGTGAGTGGTCCCAAATTCTCATCAATCTTCTTCTGCTTGACAATTTAAGGAGATGGAAACACACACAACCGTTGATGTGACCCTCAAATTTTAGTGCTGGATATAAATCACTGTATTACTTTGCTGCTGTAACAAATTATCACATAAATATTATCTTACCTGTCTGGAGATTAGAAGTCCAAAGTGAGCTCTAAGGAGCTAAAATCAAGGTATCAGCAGAACTGTGTTCATTCTGGAGGCTCAAGAAGAGAATCCATTTCCTTGTCTTTTCTGGTTTGCAGAGACTCCCTGTTTTACTTGCTTTTCAGTGCCTTCTTCAGTCTTCAAAGTCAGAAATGTAGCATCTTCAAATCTCCCTTTACTCTGCCACTTCTGATTTTAGAAGTCACAGTCCTCATTCTAACACTGACCCACTTCCCTCCCCACCTCCAAGTATCCTTGTGACGATCCAAGATAATTTGCCCATCTCGAAATCCTTTATATCAAAACTGCATAAGGGACTGCAGAAACCAACATACTCATAGGCTTTGATTATTAAGAGATGAGCATTGTTGCAGGGACATTATTCTACCTACCGCAGTCACCGAAGTCTCCACACCCTTGTGTAAGATGTCCCTGCTGAAGTCAACCATCCTAATGGCTACTATGTAATATCATTAGGTTATTAAAAAACCTTCAAGCAGTTATGGAATTATTAACAACAAGTCCCCTATTTTCTAGACATAAGAATTTGAATCCTGGAATTCTAAGGTGGAGCAATCTTAATGATAAACTATGTATACCCTTTTTAACACAGGAGTCATGAGACACTATTTCAGATGAAAGTGGAAAGAGGAACAACTACAATGATTCTCACAGAGCACTGCTATTTCCACCGAATCATATTGTTGCTGTAATTTGAATTTTAACACACGTTTAATAAATCACTTCTAAAGTCTAAGTATGAATAAAA